TTCAGATCTCAGTGATGAATTTGTACATACTCCCATACCTGGTTGCTGTGCTGTTCAGCCTCCAGGCATGATCCTGAAAAATACTGAGCATCCTCAGCTCTCTGCACATATGAGTAGGAGCTGTGAGTGCTCCAAGTATTTTTGCCTCAAACTCATGCCATGATGCCAGCATGGGAATCAGGACATATAAGATCTTGGGGTAATTCATTCCCATACTGTAGTGGCTTTCACACAAGCTGATGGGGTATCACTTACTGTTCTCAGGCCAGTGAGGTGCCTGGAATTGTCTGTCTTGCACAAATCATGATTGAGTTGCTTTTACTCTCTCTTTGCCTTTTCAGTGTAACTGCAGTGAGGCTCCCGGATGGAGTAACCTTCATTGTCTATGAGTTCTGGGAGTCTGAGGAAGAGTGGAAGAGGTAAGAGAACAAAATTTAATCCTGTCTGATGTGCAGGTGAGGGGTGTTCCAACCTGGTAGGCATTGGTTTGGGCCATTTTATCATCTACAAGCAAGAGTGTATGCAATTCCCCTGTATGGTGAAGTGTGCACATGCATGTGTGTGCACGAATGCAGAAGCTGGTCTCTCCATGTGAGTATGTAAAAGTTCAGTGTTTTTTAACTTTCATCTTGCTTTTCATTTGACGTGTTCCAAGCATAGGGTTTATGATACTATACATAATAGCTAATATCTACTACTGCTAGGGCCCTGATCTGGTATCTCCTAGATGGGAAAATGCTGTGGCCAAGTGAGGCAAAAAAACTGTTTCTTTCTGGAACGGGGAGATGGAATGTGGGAGCAGCAAAAGGCTTATGGGACAGGAAATTGCTACAAGGAATTTCAGGAAAGGGAGATTAGCAGTTGCAGTTTTAAAAGAAAATACTACCTTATGGTTCTTGTGTTTCATATAAGAATCTTTGGTCAAGCATGACCATAGTGTGAAGGGGTTAGTAATGGTGGTGGAAATGACATGGAGGAAGGGTATTCTCAGCTTAGTTGGTAGATTTCCTTTCACTTTGGTGCATAGTAAGCAAAACACAACAGGTGACATGAATTTCAGGCTTTTTGCATCAGCAGAAGCTGGTGGACAGCCCTAGTTACCTGAACAGGCTTGTGTATTTATATTCTCTGCAAATACAGGGTTTAAGGCAGAATGAGAAGTTTTTCCCAAACAGTGTCCTAATCAATATCCCCTTGTATTGGAAAAAACTTAAGCCCTTTTAAAAAATGGGTGTCCTTGCCATTTAACATCCAGAGAAAGCTGAGGCGTTGCAAGCAAGCCCCGAGGCGAACAGGTGCCAGAAAGCAATGTGACTTGTCCTGGATCCCTGGCTGGTAGGAGCCAAAACGACCATGGAAGCCTCAGGCTCAACTGAGCTGTATTAGATTGGTAGGAAGATCAAAGATGGCAACCATGTGACATGGGGACTTCTCAAGAAGCTAGAAAGACAATGAGAAACTGTCAAGCATACAGGCTGCAAGTACACACAAGGGAGGGGAAGTTAAGGCTCACTGATGCCATGGGTTTTTTTTCTCAGTGACCACAGCTTGACCATACAGCCTGAATATGGAACTGCTCCTGAGAAGTAGTTCACTGATGCCACCCAGAGGCTAAGGAAAATTCTGCTTGCATCTCCATTCTGTGAAAGCAACCAGGGAATCATTTAGGGTTTCCCAGCTCAGCCCAAGAAATGACTAAATTGTTGTGCTGATATTTCCACTTATCTCCCAGAGCATAAAAGTAAACTAAATGATGGAAAAGCCAACAAATACTTGGATTTTATCATTGGTTTAGAGTCCTAGGACTTGAAGAAAGGTTTGTTTGACTCTCTGGGGCCAGTAGTTCCATGAGATGAGGAAGAACATTAGATAAAAGCTACAGTTTCTTATTTTTAAGTCAGCTTCTGATTCTCCACAGTAGAGGCCAGTGTTATATTATGTAGTGTAAAGAGAGGCAACTGCAGCCCTAGTGTGTATGTGTGGAGGGGAAGGGAGAGGGTGAGGGTGAGGGCAAACCCCACTAACTTCAGTCATGTTTTATTTGCTAACAGTGGCCAAACCTGTAACAGCTGTTACCTTAACCTGTAACAGCTCATGTTGAACCAGTATTGAACCAGTATCTCCCAGTAGGATGAGCTGTTGTATGGATCTGGCCGGTCACAATGGGCTTTCCCCTGTCTAAAAATTTGGCACAGGCCTGCTTCCTGTTAGTTGCTAATTTACTCTACCTGACACTAACATGAAACCAGCTTACCTTTTAAATCACGTTAATTAGCTAAGTGCCCTCTGACTACAAATGTCAGGAGAAAGTTTTGCATAGGATGTTTTACAGAATTCGTCAACCCTACAGGGTAATCCCAGCCCACATAGATCCTCCATCTGTTCAGGTAATGCAAATAGCCTTGTCTTTTTCATGACTCTTGCTCTCCTCTGTTCCCTTACTCCTTTCAGCTGAGCTCAGGGCCAAAGTTTGGAATCTGTGTTGTACTTTGTGTATGAAAACATTTGTACACTGCGTGGAGAACGAGGAAAAGTGTGCCTGAAAGATAATGCAAGAGGCAAGGATTTCTTATAGTGATATCTTTTGTTGGACTAACTGTGTCATTGGGATAAAATTACACAAGCTTTTGAATGCAAGGCATTCTTTGTCAGGTCTTACTGAGAGTCGAATTTTCTCCTGACTCGTTATTGGACTAGTTAGTCCAATAAAAGATATCACCCTAAGAAATCCTTGTCTCTCACAATTTCTGAACCATCATGGCTATGACATCATTTTTACACTACTGGAAAGATAAGGAAGACACACAAAAAGAGAACCCTCAGGATTGCTGCAAATTAATATAAAAATCCTGGCAAGCTAAAAGAGGAGGGACCCTGACCTAGAGAACAAACCAGAAAGGAGATGTAACCGTACATGTCATGAGTGCCATTAGTCATTGCTACTGGCAACTTCCAGTGGCAATGAGAGGCCCCAGTACAGCTGCCCTATGTACAGCAGTATAGCTGCTCTTACCCTGTTACATTAGGCTAAGACTCATCACTTATTAATCTTTGTTCCAGACACCTGCAGAGCGCTGCCTGCAAAGGGTTCCAGCATGTGAAAGTGGACACCCTGACTCAGCCGGAAGCTGTTTCCAGTGTGTCGGTTCCAGGTAAAGCCACTAGAGGTATCTTAACACCTGAAGGGCCTTGACAAAGCTACCAGTAGAGGCAGAAGCCCCTGAAGAAACTAAGCAGCTAGATCTCAGCTTGAGTGCTAGTGACCCTTGCTCACTAGTCACCCTGAAGTCTGGCAGCCTTAATTCCATCAGTCTCTGCAAGACTTTATCTGCCCTTCATAGTAAGTTTACATGAACTTCGTTGAGACATTCGCAAACTGAATGTGAAGGTTCTATAAATTCATTAAGTTGTGGACATTAAAACACCTTGCAGCTCCACATGGCTGCACACAGATGGCCTGATTCTCTGCAGCCCTATGCTCTTTACCTCTTGGTAGCATTTTACACTGTTTGCAAAGTCAGCCATGCCTTTGCACAAGATACATGATTGCCAGTCAGTTCCATTGGGTTCATTGTCATCTCTCAGAGCAGTGTGAAATTGCATGTAGAATTGCAAACAAATTATGGATTTTAGCTTATTCAAGAGCTTTTCATTTTCAAGGACAGAAATAAGATACTGAACAGACCCTATTTCTCACTGCCAGACAGGGAGTGCACTGCCCATGTGCCAAATTTCTAAAGTCTGACTTCTGGGTAAAACCCCAGGAAATACCAACAAGTGCTGACTCATTTACAAGTAGATTTTCTTTTTTACTGCCAAAGTTATGGGCCACCTTCCCCTCGCCCCCAGTGGGAATAAGTTATAATGATATAACCATATTCCACAAGTTGTAATACTTCCACAACCCCATATCATGAAAGGAATAACTTTCAACTTATGTATAATGAAAAGGCCTTATTCATTTTGGGTCTCAGTTTTCCCCTGTGGATAATTGCTTAGTTCCCACAGGGGCCATGAAATGTAACTACCTTCTAAACTAAGCCCCATCCATTAGAAGATCTCCAGGGACTAAAAAAAGTGATGTTATATTACATAAGCAACTCCATTTTGAGCTAATAGCAAAATTCCACTAATTTACATGGGGGAGGGGTGGTTTAATTCAAGGATGTGACTCCTCCAGCTTTATACCCATTATTCTTATCCCTTGACCTATGAGCTGTGAGACGCATTCTTTTTCTCCTGCATGCTTTGGTTTGCCTGACAAAATCAAGTTCTGCCCATTCGAAATGCTTTGATGATGAATCCTTCAGTCTTCCACCTGGGCTGGCTGTTGTGCCTGCAAAGCTCAGGGGAAGATGTTGAGCACTTGAGTTGACTCTGTGTTCTTCTCACAGCGGCCTGGTGCACTCTGAACAGAGACTAACTGCATTCCTGGAGAGGACACAGAAAGGTGAACAGTGCAACTTTCAGACTCTCACCTTGTTGTCTTTTTCTGTCTTCTGAATTTTCTCTTCCTTTACAGAGGACTAAACTCCTGTCTTTTCTAATGACTTTGTTACAAGTATTGTCTTTTGAATACACTTCTAACCAGGAATGTCAGAAATGTATTTGCTTGCTGTTTGAAGTGAAGGAAAACAAACCAAAACAAAAAAACCCTTACAGTTCCCCAAAGACCATCTCTGGAACAGGGCTGGAGTGGAGTTTGTTGGCTGCCTCCTCATCACCAGAGCCTTGTTGCTGTTTGAGAAACCACAGAGCTATGGGGTCTCTTCTAGGCTCTGTGATACTAGGCAAAACTTCTATATTATTCTCAGTAAGGTGGGAATAATTAAATAAGTGAACACGTGGCCAAAGCCTTAATCTCAGAACTGACTGTTCAGCAGCAATGGCCTAATTTTCAGAAGTGCTGCAATTTCCATAGATTTCAATAAAACAGTAGGTTTTTTGGCACTACAGAAAATAGATAGGGAGGACACTGGAGCATGGGCCCAACAGTATGATTCAGTCTGGCCAGCCCTTCCTGTGATGAGGCCAGAAGAAGCCACTTCTACTCAGAAAGTTTTGTTCCAGATACGTTAGTTTTTTCATCTAGTAGGCTTGTACGAATACATTTTGCAACGCAATCTGTACCCTTTCTCTAGAACTCAGCTTTGCCAGTTACTTGTGAAATAAATCCAGCTGTGAGGTATCAGCAGCTCAGAGCTACCTAGTGGAACAGGCCTAACTTGAGAAGGAGAGCCACTCTGCCTTAGAATTGATGCACCATTTTTAGATTTTTAATTTAATCATTGGTTTTGTCCTGTGTAATCAGGAGGAAAATGAAAACTGTTTTTCCTCCTCTTCTCCAGTTCCTGTGTCAGACTGAAGTTTCCTTCACTTTAAAGCCAGTGCATGCTAACTAAGCCTTGATGTACAATAGATGCCTTCTTGCTGTAGAAAGTAGCAATCTGTTCCTTTACTAAGTTTAGTGCATTTTTTATTTGTTTTTAATGGGAACTACTGCAGGGGAACCAACTCTGAGATGCAGGCTTGCTTATTTCTTCACTTTTGACTATAATGTTTGATATTATTCTCTATGTATGTCAGCAAATGTACCTGGCTCTAAAACCGTAGCACACTACAGGGTATCAGTATTAAGCAACATATAAGCAATTTAATATTAGAATATGTACAGTTAAGTACTAGAGATACCAAATAAAATCTCATTGGGAAGCTGCAGTGGTTTATTCTATCTTCCTGCTCCTCAGGAGGGAAATGGTAAGAAAGATTTCTGCGGTCCTGGAAGAAAAATATTTGCATTAAAATAATTTGATGACAGCTGGGAAATTCATGACTTTCTGGTAAACTGTTGCCTTCTTACTGCACAGAATCATTTTCTATGAGGTGATAATGGTGTGGCATATGTATATTAGTACAAAATTTATCAGGCACACGCTGTACTGAATGAAGAGGTCTGTCACTTACCATATAGACCTCTAGGACCTACCAGACAGGAAAAAGTGACACATTGTGTAAAATCAGTCTTTATTTTGTTAAAAAGCTAAAAAGGATTTATTAAATTACAAAGGAAGGCACTCCTGTCAATCACTTGGAAATGATGCTCCAAACTGTCCTCTATGGAGGGGTGTTATTCTTTACAAATAGCACCAAGCTGGTCACAGTGGACCAGACTACAGGAGATCAAGTTGCGAGTATCCTTGCTAAAAGCACCTAGAGTTTATAGGACAACTCCATGATGGCAATAGTTGTGCTTTGGCCAAAGATGAAAGCTCCACAGAAGACAGAGATGACCCCCCAGACAATTAAACAGGACCTAGAAAAATAAACAGAATATAGAATTTATTCCATGACAAGCTACCCTGGGAAACAAGTCCCTTGTGTAAAGGTAAGCATAATCCTAAATACAACTTTTCCTTTAGACATTGCCTAAGTCTGAAAAAATGCCTTGGTGCTGCCCAAAGATACCCTGTCAGTCAAGTCTCCTGCTCAGAACAGTGGGACTCGCTTATGGAGAACTGGTAGTACAGGGGCGGCAGCAGTTGATGTAGCAGACAGCGATAAACTTCTGTCCTCCTCAGCAAATATTAATGAATCTCTTTCTCAAGGATGAAAGCAAACTGTTAGGTTTTTTTTAGCTATGAACAAATGAGCACCCAAATCTTACATAAATCAACCTCTCTCCCACAAAGTCATTGTCTTTATTCTCCAGCTGGGTTTTCTGAGGCATGTAGACTTTCAAGATTTTTGTCACGGGCCACACATCTTAAATGCTGTAGTACTCAGATGCAGGAACCTAGTTGCTTTCTGGCATTTGGTTCCATGAATGAAACAGAGGTTAGGGGCAGGACAAGATCTTTCCTCCTGTGTTCATGTTACACTCACCCAGTGGTGTCAGTGGCACAACTGAGTCCTAGCAACTATAGAAAGAACCTAAGTCTCAGGTCATGTAATGACAAGATCCATCTCTCTGATGGAAGTAAAAATAAAAATCTTGCCTGCATTTAACATTTTAATCATTTCCACTACATCACAGCATAATTAATGGAGAGGAGTTGGATGCTAGGGTAGAAAAAAAAACAGAGGACGCTCTTCAAGTTACTGTCTGCATATCTGTTCACAAACCTAGCAGGTGAGTGAGATGTTCACCCATTTCAGGACAAGGGGAGCGATAGTCTGACAACTCTCTTCAGGTGGGCAAGGCTGTCAATGTCAACCTGAGCTTTACTTAAATGCAAAAACTATTTTGAGAGGCTTGCTATGAGAGAAATCCTATTCTGTCCTTAACCCTCTGGCTTACAGTGATGTACTTAACCCTCCTTTTAAAAGGGTGGTTTTTTACCTGTGTAGGGCAAGTGAACACTCTACTTTTATGCCCTGCTTAATTCCCTTAGGGTTTAATTCCCTTAGGGCTGTCATGCTAGTTTTTGTGAATGGGTGAATTGGAGTTGATTTCTCTTCAGTATATGTTTAAGCCAAATTGTGTTTCAGAAACATTCCTCCCTCTCCTTCCCTAGCCCAGTCCCCAAAGCCCAGCACTGGAACATTGTGGGTAGATCACAATAATTTTGGATATTATTGCAAGGAACTGAGGTGGGAGACTACAACCAATTTCCTTTGACTAGAAGCATGGATACCAACCAAGAAGTGGAGCAGCACGAGTGCTGGTAAAAAAAATACCTAGGGAGAAGCATGTAGTGGACAAAGAACCCAACCCCCCAAAGCAATGATTCCACTCACAAAGCAAGTTCTAATCAGGCAACAGCAGTTTTCAAATAAAGCATTGCAAGATAAAAGGTTGTGTACTTTGCTATGAAAACTGCCTGCTGCAGCAAATTTAGGGTTAGATCAAAAGAACCTGGATGTGTGGTTCCCATTCTGGAGTGCCTAAGATTCACCAGGGTCTTAAGCCCCATGCTCCTCCAGCACTTAGGCTGCAGTCATTAGCATTCACAAACCTAAACTGTCTCTGTAGCTGTGCCTACCCCAGCCTCTTCTCACAAAACACACATGCTCTGATTGTACTCAGGAACCTTTTTATCTTGCTTTAATATTCCATGGGGCTTTTTCTAATTCACAGATATTTGCAGAGAAATGTTAAGAGCCAACATATCCCCAGGGCCTGCACTTCAGTTTGTCAGGGAATAGAACCACCATGGTGGCTTGATTGACCGGCCACACCCCCCAAATACCAAACAAGGTGCAAATGGTCTCAATTTAAGCAGAAATCGCAACTTGGAAAGGCAGCTTTTAAGAGAAGGAGAACCTGCTGTGTTCCTTTGTCCAAACTGGTCAAATCAGTCACTTCTAGTAGCTCACCTTGGATTATTTGGGAAAATCTTTCAAGATTTCATTTTTGATCATTAAAAACTGTCTAACCACTCTCCCTCTTTTGAAGTTTACACAGCTTTATAGAATGAAACTAGACTGTTTCCCCTCCTCGTAGAATAATGCTCTACTCTAATTTTTCCTAAATTGGGAAATTTTACTTCTATACACACATCCTTCTGGCTTTTTATTGCCAAGAGCGAAAGATAGGAATGGAAGGACCTCATCAGTTATCACACTTTATACCCATTGCCCTGGGTCACTGGGTTGTGTGTGGTGTAGTAGGTTCAGCTTTCTACACTATCACTAGCTACGTCCTTTATCCAGACCCTCATAGTACATATAAACTTACTTTTTCCGTGGTTCAATGGGTTCAGTTTCCATTGCACAAACCAGACACAGCCCTGCAATCAAAAAAGGTAGATTCCTGGTAGTGGTTCTAAAATAAAACTCTCATTATGACACCTACATTCATTCCCAGATATTCGTCTCAGTAAACACTGAGAAAGCAGTGTTAGGAAGGAACCATGCATTAGTGGATTTAATTAACTGCATATTAATTCAATTGTGCATTGCCACTCAATGCTACTAGAACATGCATGGATAAAAATCATCCCTGTGTCTGATGCATTTAATTATTAGAGCCATAATTAAACATTCCCCCTTCTCCCCATTTAAAGACATTTGGTAAGATTTTTTTATCATTTAGTTTTCATAACTTCTTCTTTGGAGTATGAAAGCTCACTCGTAATTTGTTACTTTAAACTGTTATACAACTCCTAGCAGTTAAGTGGATACATGGAATCTGAGTTATGTCAGCTACATTTTACTTGGAAAAAATGAGCATATAATTTGTATGAGGAGAAAGATGCTAGAGGTGTGAAAAATGAAGTAGTACATTAAAAATGCAAGTAGAGAGGGAAATGAAGTACTCTATACTTTGACTGTAGAGAATGTAATGTTTTTTAATGTGACATGAAAAAACAATACATTTCAAATGGTCAGATGCATCCATTAAAACTTCATATCTACCTCTATGTATCAACCACAAGGGGAAAAAGTGCATAGCTAGTAGGTAGGTCCCGTTAGGATCACAGCATCTCAAAAACTTGGAAAAACATTCTGCATATACTATCAAAGAGTTAAGTTTGTATTGGAAATATTGATACATGAGGCCTGTGATACCTTGAAGACTTGCCTATACCCATCATGTAGCTGGTCCAATAAAAGATTACTCACAAGAATTCTTGTCTTGATACATGGGCAACTTGACTAAACTTTCCTCCTTAATTTTATCACCTTACATACATTGAGATGAAGATTCCTCCAGTAATGCAGTTTTCCACTAAGCATGGTGAACACTGAAATTGTTCATCAGTTATTTACAGCTAATATGAGAGACTTGCAAATCTTAACTGCTACATTGTAGATTCAGGACCAGAGCTACCATCAGAAGTGGCACCTACAAACCTGTGCAAAGTTTTACTCTAGAGGTCAAGGATATTCTTTAGCAAGTGATTCTTTAAGGAGTTCCAAGAAGGGAATTTACATAAAAACACCCAGCACAAGACAGATTGAAATCAAACTAAATAGGCTTCCCTGTATCAATACTTATCACAAGATTAATGAAGGAACTTATGAGACATTTGTTAAATGGGAAGATAATTGAAGAAGGCAGTAAACAGACAAAAAAGAATACCTTTGCTGATGAATGAGCAGTTACACAGCCAAAAATATACAAGCCCCAGTTTCTAACTTGTTAGTGCATTACACCTAGCTTGCAGGAGTGGAAATGCTTACACAGGATACAGGACACTGAGAATCAGGGTTTATGCCTGGAATGGAGCTAAGTCACTTAACACAATTAAAGGGTGTTTATACGGTACCAAAACAGCCAGACTGCTGTTTGCATACAGCAGTTGCTTCTCTGAAATCTGCTTTCAGGAGTTGAGGGATTCTACAGCTCTTCAACCTAGAGGTCCAAACAAAGCTGTATAAACCATGGCCATGCAACTTATGAGCAGCCAGGGGCTGCACAGGCTCCCCAAGAGCCTCACCATGCATGGCTGGTATAGCCTCCCCACTGTATGGATAGCACAAGCCCTCCCTTCACAGCATCGCACAGGCAGTGTGAACCTCCCTCTTGCCATCATATGGGCAACACACTCACCAGATTCCCCTCTCACCATGCTGCCTTGCCCCAGGGACCCCTGACCCTAGCACAGCAGGAGCACTAACCCCTCACAAGTTGGCTGCAGCCTGGAGGCCATGAGTTGGACACCTCTGCTGTAAACTACATTAAAAAAAAAACCCACTTGCTCCTCCTCTATCTCAAAGGTGATAGAGGGGAACTGGAAGAGAACAGATGAAAGTTGTTTTTTAAGTGGCAAATGGAGGAGTGACTAGTAGTAATTTTTCAGACTTACCTGGAGTTTCCAGGGCCCCCTAATCAGAGAGTAACTCAGTGAAGTCTTTTGCATAACCCTGGTTTTCAGATTGAATTGATTTGGAAAGCATTTTCCTCCCAGACATGCCAAACATGTGAAGCAAGTTGAACAGCCTTAGTGATCAATAGCAGCTAAATCATTAAATGTTCCCCGGTCTTTTTTGTTTTTTTTTAATTAGACACACATGCACACAGTTGACAATGTACATGCCTGGGAAGATGAAGATGAAGAATGCACTGATGCCACCAATAATACTGATGACTTCACTAATGTCAGGGACAAACAAAGCAATAATGAGCGTGACTATGATCCATGTGCTAGTCAGCATGATCCTCGTCCATCTCTCATAAGGTTCCATGATCACCATGTAGCTGCACTTGGAGTTCAGGCAGACATCCCGTAGGACAGACCTAATGCAGACAAAGCCATCTTAGTTATAACTAACTCTGCTTCCCCCTCTTCACCGGACTCTGACTGCCTTGCTCCAAAACTAACAGCATACACAATCAGTTCTTTACAGTTACATACTTAAGATACTGACTGTTCTGTATGCCAGTCTAATTTAGGCATAGAATATTGTGGGCTGGATTGTGATATTTAGGCAACGCCAGCAATAGAGGACAACACAGAGCTGAACTGCACTGCCACAGGGAGATGCTCATGAAAAAAGCATTCTGTTGACAGGTCCTCCACTACCCTCCCCCTTCTTCCAATGTTACACAGCCTACAGAAGGAGAGCATCTACCTTCTGCAGTGGAACAGGCTCTCCCAGGGGCAGATGGGGTATGGCACATTTTATGGCCACATTTGCTGTTTTATGGCCACATTTGCCCTTAAGGAAAGAAATTCTCACCCCCTGCATGACAGCCAGAGACACCCTAGTATATATATATATATTTCAGTAGCATCTAGATGTTCCACCTGAGAACAGGGTCCCAAGAGTTAGGCTCACCTTGGTTTAGATACAATAAGAAGATGCTACTGCTTTCTCATTCTCTACCTGCTTTCTCATTCTCTTCTCTGAACCTTCTGATATGTCCTCTTCCTGCTGCATCCTACAACAATGCTTTCCAACCCTTCCCAAAAGTTGTTGAACCAGGTCAGTTAGCACAAGTGTCATAACGTATCTCTGCCTAGCAGTCACTTCTGGGAAATCCTCCCTGTCTTGCATGGGTGCAGTATTGTATGCATTATCACTTCTAATATTTCTGTGGAGTTTGCTAGCTTTCTTTCTTCAGAAGTCTGAAAGGGTATTCATTGATAGACAACATTCAGTCAGATTCATCTAAATTTTAACCAAAGGTTAGGAACTTTTGTTGCCTCTCTCTCAGAAGGTATGGGGACAAAACTGGGGAGTGGGGGTGGGCAGGGATTTTGCCATTAGTAAGGCTTCTTCCCAAGCTACGTGCGCTCCCTGAAATCTGAATTCCAGAGATACCATTCTGACACAGAGGGCATAAGCTTGTTCCTGGATATCAGTCCTGCAGTCTTTCATGCACTTCACTCACCATACACATACAGCTTCACTCTTCCTATTACCTTCCCAAGAGGACAACGATGGGGTAGATGGTAACAATGGAGACACCAAAGAGTAGGCGAGCAATGATGACAACCACATCATTTCCTGGGTAGGACATCAGAATATCAGCAGCAACATCACCACCAAATGTCAAGTAGCCATACAGTCCTAGAAAATAGAGGCCAAAGAGCATAGCAAGGGATTGATATATGACCCCCAAACATTTTGGTGAGGAGACTGAAGGAAGAAATAGCCACCAGGTAACTTAATATAAATTACAGTTCTTTATTATAGGCACAGCATGGATTAGTGCTAAGGCTGCCCAAGACCTTTTCATAACATTTAGAGTGAAAAAACTGCTGCTGCAGACCAGGCTGAAGCTGGGTGCTGGAAGTGAGAGCAGAGAGCCAGTCTCTTCTGGGACCAGTACTTTCCCTGCTTCACCCCTGCTCCCCACCACCACCTGATATCCAAGTAACACAAAGGACAGAGTTGTCCAGTTCAAATGCAAAGGGGACAAGAGCCAGATGTGGATGTTGTGAATAGCAGACAAGGATAAGGAACCTTGAGGGAGGAAGCCTGAGGCTGATATTGGAAAGGGAGTTGGAGGAAGACTGGAACAGAAATAGGGAGTGAGGGGGAAGGCCAAGAGAGATAATGAGGAGCCAGAAACTGGGGGTGGAGCTAAGACAGTGGGACAAGACACTGGGGATATGGGGAGAGAGGGTGAAGAGACCAGGGTGGGAGGATGAAATAATATGATAGGGAAAAGCTACCTGTAAGGGAATAAATGAGCAAACAGATGATCATGGAGAGTACAGACACCATAATCCAGTGGGAGAGTTTCTTGTTGTACATGCTGCTGTAGATGGCAACACAGGCTTCATGGCACTGAAATACACAAGAGAATATAATCCCCTTGTAAGAAGGTGGAGTGAAGATTCAATGCTGTAGATCCTTCCTACCACACAGATGCAGGTTACTATGCTTATGTTTCCTCTGCACCACCTTTCTTGCACTCAAGCCTTCCCCTGTGGCTTCCCATTCCCTCTCCACAGCCACTCCATGCACACTGGCTCCAGTGAGTGGCATATCACCCAGTACATGTCTGGGGGGGGTCCTTCAATATCAATAGGTCACTTGCCTCAAAATGATTTTCCCCAGTCACCAAAGGGCCAAGGATTGCTTCATCTTCACCCCAGGCAAGAAGGAAGATGTTTTTTGCCTCTGGATGGGGCTACTTGATTCAGTACCACCCTCATTTCAGGGCCAGAGATCAGGGGAGTGGAAGATACAAACCATGTGTTGCCCCATTACCCCCAGGAAGAGTGAACTGAGCCCAGGACCTAACAGGAGCAATATAAGCTTTGCTTTGTATCTGAAATCCACTGGCTCTGACTCGAGAACGCAGGTCATAATTCTCACTGGGGGCACATGCATGTGCAATAGGATGAGTACAATGATGAGTGCATAGTGGCCTTATTTAAAAGTCCTGTTTATAGATAAGATGTCCATCACTGGGAGTGACTGGGGAAAAATCCAAGCCTTCCCCACTCTCCACCAGAGTGATTAATGAAAAACACAGCTGAAGTTTTATGCTCTTGTCTCTACTATATATTTAGACCAGTGGTTTTCAACCTTTTTTTATTTGCAGACCCCTTTGAACATTTTGAATGGAGGTACAGAGCTCTTTGAATTGTAAGTGTGGGCATTCACATACTTTTGATTGATCATAGTCATCTCTCGTAGACCCCTTAGACATAGTCTATGGACCCTCAAGGGTACATGGACCACAAGTTAAAAACCACTGATTTAAACCAACACTTGTCTGGGAGGATTTAGGCAGGCGTGATTTTGCTTTGTGCAAAAGGCTACATAGATGACTTTTTGACAGCTTTTCCAGGCTTTGATTTGATTCTACGATATTTGCACTACACTCACTCCCAAGGTAAATTCCTTGCCCTACTGAAGTCAACACGAGATTTGCGATCAACTTCAATGGAACAATCAGTTCCTCCCCCCAGATTCCCATCCTAACAGCTAGCAATTTCTGTGGAGGCAGGGATGCAATGTCTGGGGAACAGCAGGACAGTCTCTGCTTTCTTCAATTCTGTCCCAGGAGGCTCTTCCCTAGGCTAGGACATTGTTCTATACAACAGACCAGTTGAATCCAAGGGGATGTTACCTGAAATCCAAAGCAGATGGTTGGGATGACACTGAACATGGAAGCCCAGGAAGAAGCCCTGCAAAATTAAGAAAGGAAGACTTACCCAGGTGAGCAGTTCAGGAAAAAAGTATCTCAGTGGGACCAGAAAGAAACACTCAGAACTTAAGCAAAAGATTAATAATACAAGATGGGACTTATATGCATTGCATTAAAAAGGCCCACAAGTCACAGCCCATGGATTGTGTTAGCATCTTAATTGCTCAAGCTCAAGCTATTAGCCTTCTGGATGTAGTTGCCAAGTCAAGGATACACAAACAGATTCCTGCAGCAGTGATAAATGGCTGCACCAACCCTTACCTTGAGGCATAATGGTTTTCGTGCATGATAATATGCTCTGGTCGCAAGTAGTATTTTAATACAATCACCAGGGTCAGATAGCACGCCGCCAAGGTACCAAGGACACTAAAACAAAGAACTGGAGATCAGATTATTGAACTTATTGTGCAGAGTGAAGAGTTGATGAGGCTCCTTGGCATTCAGTAAGGGTCAACTGGCATACATACTAAGAAGATCAAGAAATATACTAGGGATTAGTAACCCTGGCAGACTGACTGCCTAAGGGCACAAGAAAAATATCATGCTTGGCAAATCTGACTGGCAGGCCGCACCCCAAACCCAGACCAGTTTCTGCATAAAGAGAAAAACCTTTGTCACAGACACAAAGGCCTTAACTTCCAACAGGGCACTGGGCCCAATTTTCTCTCATTCCATTTTACACTCCACTGATTTTGCTCCCAAATCACATAGGCATAAAGAAGAGCAGTCAAGCCCTAAGCCACATACTTTTTAGAACACTTAATATAATCTCTGTAAAGCTGGGAAGTAATAACAGGTGTGACTGCATATGCTACTGAACTGCAGCCTTCTCTGGGGTGGAACAACTGGGGGACTGCACCAACAGCACTACTCAGGAATTTTGGGGAAGCAAAAGTGACAGGTTAATAACTCAGTCTGAAACTGTAGCCAGGACCATTGCCCATGCTACAGCTTGACCAGGACACTGATTTAAGCATTCTTTCAAGATTGTTCTGGGGTTCTGAATGACATTACAGAGCCAATAGAAACCAGTGGCCAAAACAGCATTGCTTCAGAAATAAATGATACTCCCTGACCATCTGAATATGTTACAATGATGTCTGCTGTCCCTGGTTCATGTTTCACATTGCTCGTTTATCAACAGCTAGGACAGGGTGTTTAGTGAACATCCCCTTCCATTTAGCCTTACTATCACTTGGTAGATAGAAACTTTCCAATGTGTGGTAAAGACTGACTTGAATTTTTCCAGTGGAGCAAGCCAAATTCCCAGAATCCTAGCCCAATGACAGGTCACGTCTGTACACATTTGGGACTCTGATCAATACTGCAGGCTGCCAAAACTGTCCAAAAATATTAACCACTCCATCCTGGTTCACTATGCAGATGCAGAAGTGTTTCTGCAGTTAAAGCTGAGGCTATTGCACTTGCAATGAACTGAGGAGTGGCAAAGAGGAGTCTCAAATGGCCAGAAGGGTGGACTCATGATACCAGTCTGAATGAATGCAAAGGCTGCCTATTCTAGATCTCAGTTCTTCTCACTGCCAGCCAGGAGCAGAGGCTCACTGGAGTACCTTAAGAAGACCAGAGGCAGTGACAGGGGTTCACTAGTGACATGAAGTGAACCTGAATGTGTCCACTTGCTGCTTCCTAGCTCACAGTACAAGCATGGTGCAGTGGCTCTTGCTGCACACCAGCCAGCAGATCCCATTCCCTGCAGCCCAGCTAGTGACCCAGCACTATTCCCTCAACCATCTTCTGCAGGATTGATTTCTGAGTGCATTTGGTCACAGTGTATAGCCTTGGGAGGCTAGATGTGTTATTTTCACCCACGTCTACCTTGAGTACTTCTGGAAGCCAATCTCTCTAGGTACAGACAGAGGAAAGATGACCAGGACACAAAGAGTAGTCAGGGTGAAGCGATGATCCATATACCAATGCTGGGGAGGTGGCCCTCCTTCACTCACTGTCTCGTTCAGGTAGGAGTCACATACTGGGAAGAACAATGGAAGAGGTGGTCAAGGGGTAGAACATTCCCTGAGGCACAGCATTTCAGCATCAGTTGCATGCTAATGAGCAGAAGCAAAGATGGCCCCAGTAACAGTGAGAAGAGGTCGTAGATCTCACCAGCACCAAAGAATCCCAGGTCTGGGAAGTATTGGCAGAGAAGATGGCCCTGCTCAAGGAAGGCAGTTACCTTCATGTAAACTTTTCATGGGTTCTTTTCACCAACTCTACAAGGAACAGGCCACAAACACTTTGCAACCCTTAAATGTTATCTCTGTGTTGCTAGAGTTAATGGTTTAATGGTGTTAAACTCCTAGCCTACAGGCCAAATCCAGCCTGCAGGACCATGTCATGTAGCACACAAGGCTCCCCACAGGTCCAGAGATTTGGTGGTGGGCTATGAAATTTCCAGACCTGTAGGGAGCCCCCAGCCCAGCAAGCTGGATTGGGTGCCTGATCTAAGCACAACAGGGCCAGGCACAGGTGGTGCTGGCAGGCCAGGGCCCAATCCTGGTGTAGGAGCTAGAATCGGATGGCACCAGACTTCTAGGGCCCAATCCTAGCATGCAGGGCATCCATCCAGCCTGTGGATCAGCCCTGCACCACTCATTTGACTTATGGAGCCAAAAGCTTGGGCACAACTGGTCTAATTTCACTAAAGTGGCAAATAATGTTAGGTGCTCCAGAGATGCCTGCAGCTTACCAGTTGTTCAGAGGACAGGCTCTTCAGTTCACTCCGAAGATCTGGCCCCCTTTATAGTGTCCTCAGGATGGTCACCCAGAAATTTAAAGCCAGTACCTTTACTGGAAATCACTTCTGTTGCTGTGGAATATCTCACATCAACACAGAGTATGAGTGGCAAAGGCTGCTGTATGTATAATGGTTTTATTGGCATGAAACTGGATGAACATGTCTGCTTGAATGGATCTAAGCTTCTGGTCAAGGGAACGAAGGGCCTAATTTCCAGAATTCATGCTCTATGCAGAGACAGAGACTTACATTTCTCCAGCTGATCACCCACAACTCTGAGAAAGGCTACGGAGATCATGAAGAGGTTTAAAATGAAGCATATTTCACAGAGTTTCCCAATGGCCGATCCACAGATCTCTCTGACAACACCCTGGTATGTCGACTGAGTGCTAATGGAGGAGGCATATCCCAGGATTACTAGGCCACTGATTAGGAATATTAATGATCCCTGCAGAGACAGAAGACATAGTAAAGTGCAGTGAGGTATGCTCATCTCAGGTCCTTCTAGACACCCATATCATGTTGTGAAAGTCTTTCCTAAAGAAATCCTGAGAGTGGCAGCTTAGTTATGGAAACATAGTGTCTGTAGTATGCATGCACACCCTCATGGAGAACAAACAGAAAACAGATAGCACCACTGGCAGGATGGCAGATAAACCTCAAAGATGTCACAGCTTCAGAACTAAATTACTGGTATTCACCAGCTATCATTACACCCCTCTTTAAAGATTACAGAGGAAAGGCGTTGGGCCTGGGAGTCGTATTTTGTGGCAATCACTGACAAAGGCTGTCAATCCGTGGTTTGGCCTTTCACTTGAAATCGCTTCAACTCACTTTCATTTCTCTCAGCATTTCCTCCCTCTTTCCCTCTCTTTTGTAGTTGAATGACCGTATTCCTTTCTATTTAATACCGCTGCTCTCTGCAAGTCCATTCATAACATCTGATGAAGCAGGCTGAAAACTATGAAAGCTCATTTCTCTCTGAACAAGTTAATCCAGGAGTGTCAAACTCACCCAGCTCCCCCAACCAGATCTGAACCTCAGGGATCCTTGAGGGCTGGATATAGATAACAGGACTTCTTGTGGGCAGCAGGGAAAGCAGCAGGGGTGGTGAAGCAAACATGTCAGGGAGCCACAGGGGTTAACACAGCTGTTATTCACTCCCCACAGCTGACACTGGTCCCCAGGAGGGCTCTGTACCCCAGATTTTGGCAGCAGTCCCTGTCCTTGTCCCACCCCTGAACTCCTGGCCCTTCTAAGAGCTTCATGGACCAGATTACATGGCTTCATAGGCCAGATCCAGCCCACGGGCCTTACATTTCACACCCCTGAGTTCATCTATAAAATGCCACCCAGACCTGGTTTCTGCCTAATTTCAGACTAACAATGGCCAACTACCTCTTTGTATTTGTATATAAAAGGCATCTTACTCCACAGATGCTAATACAATTAGCACCTATTTATAGCAGCATGTGGTAAGGGAAATATTTCTGATAAGATGGCACTCCCTGCTACAACAGTAACAGCCATTTAGAAACAACAGGGCATAAACATGTTGCTACTACTCTGAATCAGTCACATATGAAATACATTAGGGATGTTGAAATGGGAAAGAGAAGACCTAGCAGGGAAACTGTTCCCCCTATATGGATGCAGACAAGGAACTGTGGTTTGGAGAAGGATAACGTTAGGCAAAGATCTTCTTTCATCCCTATATATTAGCAGATCCCAGTTTTTGGACTCTTCTAATCATTACTTTGCACTTGTGCTGCTGTTCTACCAAGCAGGTCTCATCCATCAGCTGAGCAGACACTTGTGTATTCTTTAAGAGACTGCAGCTGCCCCCAATAAACTGTCACTGTTTATGCTGTCCTCCAATAAACTCTTGGCAGAAAGCATACGGATTTAGCTTGAGCAGGTTTCAGATTTAAAAGCAGCTACCAACTTATCAACAAACCTTGGAGAATTCTTATTCTGCACCATAGGTTCACTTTCTGCTTGTGATGTGAACCACCTAGGATTGTTATACTCTCTCCTTTTCAGACTCACATTTCTCCACTGATGAACTACCAGAGGTTTGGCTAGTCAACAATAAGAAATATCACTGCTTCCATCAGAGTGCCTGACTGCTATCACAGTTAAAGGAGCAGGCCATCTGGAACCTAGTCAGCAAAAACAGAAAAAGAATCAGAAGTAATTTCAAGTCTGATAGTTACCCAGCTCCCCATGACATTTTGAGGGGAGTTACAATCCTTTTTTAGAAATGTTTTCTCCCCTTTGCTACCTTTATTCCAACCAGATGAGAAACCGATTGACTCTAAAGGGGAAAGAATAAAACTGATTATATGCTGAAATTACTGTCAAATACATAAAAGAGAAAGAAAAATATAATTCTCTAATTTAATCCAGAAGAGATCAGTCTTGGTCCAACTGAAGTTAATGGCAAAACTCCCATTGCATTCTCATGTATGTAGGTAGCAATTTTCTATGCCCTCCTTGCTGTTGTAGGGTTAAAATGCTATTGCAGCTGTGATCATACAGGAAATGTGAGAGAGGCAAAGGAGTTTTTGGTAATATGTTGTATTGGACCACCTAAATATAGTTAGGAGAGATGTTAGTCAAGCTATATGGCTGGTCTAATAAAACATATCACCAAAAACTATTGCTCCTTGCATATTTCCTGGACCATCACAGCTACAGCAACACTCCAACCCTACTTCAGTATTCAGCTGACTTTCATTCTGGATGAGCTGCCCCAAGTCCCATGGACTTCAGCCTGTGTTGTGGATAGTAAGCATCTCTTGAAAGATTCTCCTCAGCATCAAAGTGAGGTCCCCGTCCTGGGAACATGCACATTTATGAGACATTCTGGTGTATTTGCATGTCCTGAGTAATATTGCAGTATATAGTTCCATGCGACTGAGAGAATGGTCACATGGTCTGGCCAAAACGGGCTAATGAAGCCCTAAGGCATCCTGCTACACATTTTAGGAGACATAATATTAAAAGAAAGGACAAGATACTCCATTAAAATGGCATCTCATTCCCAATTCATGCAATAGTAACAGATTCTATGATACTTATGTATGCTTGATATGCAAGTCACATGAACAAATCTGTTACATAGAAGAGTCATTCCAGTCAGCTACACTGATGGTGACATTTAAGGTGCCCATATTATATACTGGATATTATTGATCAAATGGGGAGGGGAGGAAACAAAAGGACACACACAAGAAAGCTGCAACACCTTGAGACAGAACTTGCCCGGGCAGTAATCCTTTCTTATAAGCCCTTTACCCCAGTGACACTGATGACTTAGATTCCCATGAACGACCTGTGTTGTTAAACCTATGCCCCCAGAGATAAACTATAAGACAGAAGGCTTCAAGGCCTAGGTGACTGAATTGAGGGGAGTCCTACCCCAAGGCACCTGAAGGCAGAAACAGTGCCTGCCTAGCTGTCCAGTCTCCTCAACCTGACAGCCAGTTCTTTCCCAGGTTCCCAATGATTAATGGAGTGATTGACCAGATCTGTGAAAAAAGGTCTGTTTTCATCCATGGTCAGCTCCATCAAGTTAAAAGTCAGGCATGAAACTGTTCGCAGCTCTCGCTCTTCCTCTCTTTCTCTTTTTCTCTCTAGGCATAGCTTTCTGAACCTGAATTTTATTAGTTAAGCTTGAGCTAGGTTCCCCCCAAATAGTCAACTGAACCAGAGTAATATTGTAATTGTTTTTGTTTGTTTTTCCTTGCATGGCTATTATTACTAGTACCATCATAAATTTCATATACATAGCAATAAATAACTTTTATAGTCAAACTGGTGGTAACTGGGTGTATTTTTCTTCTCTGCTTCCCCTTCTCCACTTGCTATGCAGCAACACTTCTTTTACCTACACCAAAGATCCCTGTAAAGCCCCAAAATACTGTGGGGTCTGCTCATCAAGAGTCTACCACTACTAAGACAGTTAGGGCAAAAGATTGGGATGTGCTGAGTTTGAGACACATAAGGGGAACACCTTGTATAGGCTGATTGACCCAGTTTGGCTCAGTGCTCTAATGACCCAGGTTGTGCTCTAATGAACTGAATGCTGGCCCATGAGGGTGTCTGCTGGACACCACAAGTGACTGGTGCCTTCTGAATCTGGGGGGGCACCCACAGAAGCTGCCCTTGCCAGCAGCAGCAGCCCTGTTGGGGGGCCACCAATCCTGTCGATAGTGTCAGTGTCAGCCATCGGGGGGGCACTGGCCCTGTGAGCTGGGGAGACACGTACCCCTTACCAGTCACCTATGCCGGACACCCAGCCTGATTCAGAGGTATTCTGTTCACCTGTGTGCTTGTGTCTGACTGCATTTTATGTGACTGCTTGTGTCTGACTGCACCTTAATGAACTGATTCCTGGCATATGACAGGGTCAGCCTGTACATGCTGATCAACCCAGCCAGGTCAGGCGTGTCACGTTAATCTGGATGTGTGTGTGTGTATGTATTTGACTGACTTGATGGCTAGAGGAACCCAGCCCCATTGAAATCAAGTCCTGCAAGATTGGGGGTGAGGACTTGCACAAGGGAGAGATACAATTCCATATAGAAACACAAGTAACACAAGCAGCACACTGATAGAAT